AATCTTCAGCTTGGGAAGGGTCTGTCCAGGGCAGCTCATCTCTGCCCCACGTGGTATCTATAGGGGCAGCTCGAAGGCAGAGGTGGGAATCCCCTGGAAGCTCACTTCCTCATGTGGATGTGGTGGTTGGTGCTGGCCATTAGCTGGGACCTCAGCTGGGGCTCTGCACAGAATACCTGTGCATGGCCTCTCCTGTGATTTGTCTTCCTCACAGCACAGCAGCTCGGTTGTGAGCATGAGTGTCTTAACAGAGGGCCAGGTGGAAGCCGTGTAACCTTTTCTAATAGACTTCACTTTTTGATGGGGAAGTGGTCAGAAGGTTCTGGAAGAGTGTGTGGGACCAGAAATCTCATAGAGGCCATATTTGGGAAACACACCTGCCATGGGGCCTTGAAGTTTCCATTCAGCTCTGCCCAGCTCCTGGGGAAGGAGGATAGAGACACGTGGGAGCAGAACTACAGGAGTACTGTGCTCACTGCGACCTGGTGTGTCTGCCACTCCAAGGATCCCCAGGCATCTGCTCATGGCGGCAGTTAGTCAGGGCAAAGGTCTGCAAAAAGAGAACTAGGAAAACCCCACCCCAGAAGACCTGACAGACGGGTGCCACCACCTCTCCTGCATTCTTACCAGCCCTTGTGGACATCCCCGACGTCTTCCCCCAGTGTCTGTCTCCCCAAGTCTTTCTCTGGGTTCACCTTCCAAACTCATCTCTCTCCAAGACCTTCTCCAACCATCCCCCCAGATTTCTCCCTCCCTCACACCTTTTAAGCTGAGTGGCAGGTTCCTTGGTTGCTCGTCAGTTATTTCATATACTTTACATGTGCCTAAAACACTTTATAATAAATATGTATTTTAAAGGTACTGGTGGGCTAGCCATCCCTAAACTCAGAGATGGGTTATGCTCCAGCCTTCTCCTCAAAGCCACAGAAAGTCAGGTGACATGTCTCTCCATGCCTACTCCCTTTCATGTCTGCTGTTCCCTCTCCCGCTACTACCACCCCATCCT